CATCAGAATATACACAATGCATCCTATCAGAATATTACACAATGCATCCTGCATCAGAATATACACAATGCATCCTGCATCAGAATATACACTATGCTTCCTGCGTCAAAATACACAATGAATCCTGCATCAGAATATACACAATGCATCCTGCATGAAAATACACACAATGCATCCTGCATCACAATACACACAATGCATCCTGCATCAGAATACACACAATGTATCCTGCATCAGAATACACTCAATGCATCATTTGTCAAATTACACACAATGCTTCCTGCGTCAGAATATACACAATGAATCCTGCATCAGAATATACACACTGCATCCTGCATCAGAATACACACAATGCATCCTGCATCAGAATGTACACAATACATCCTGCATCAGAATATACACAATGCATCCTGTATCAGAATTTACACAATGCATTCTGCATCAGAATATACACAATGCATCCTGCATCAGAATATACACAATGCATTCTGCATCAAAATACACACAATGCATGCTGCATCAAAATGCTGACAATGCATCCTGCATCAGAATACACACAATGCATCCTGCATCAGAATATACACAATGCATCCTGCATCAGAATATACACTATGCATCCTGCATCAAAATACACACAATGCATCTTGCATCAGAATACACACAATGCATCCTGCATCAGAATATACACAATGCATCCTGTATCAGAATATACACTATGCATCCTGCATCAAAATACACACAATGCATCCTGCATCAAAATGCACACAATGCATCCTGCATCAGAATATACACAATGCATCCTGCATCAAAATGCACACAATGCATCCTGCATCAGAATATACACAATGCATCCTGCATCAGAATATACACAATGCATCCAGTATAAAAATACACAATGTATCCTGCATCAGAATACACACAATGCATTTTGTACCAGAATAAGCTAATTAATACAGCCTGACGTTTAGTTCACATTTCGTTTCTTCAGACTTAGTACGATTTGACAATAGTCATCACAGATTCAGCAGCAATGGCATGCATTACAAGGTAGAAGTTTTGGAGCCAGAAACAATTAATGGGGATGTACCGAAGCCGCAGTAATCAATAAAGATGGACTATGAGATGGACCAATACAGACAGTCCTGCACACCTCTGAATGCTGGTGCTATTTTACTAGTGTAATATTTAAGTCAGGATTCAATGCAATGGTTTGAGACTTTCTGCATAGCGCTCAAATATATCACACTTAAACTAATTGAACTAAATATTCCAAGAAAATTAAAACTGAATAATCAGTAAAGTCGTATGTTGATCACATCAGTGCCTTAAGCCCACGTCAGACTAATCTGGACTGGTTTAAGTAGCCATGCTGATTCAAGAGATACAAAGAAACAATCCTATGAGTACATGGTGCCATCCCTGGTATGAATTAACTGGCCCTTAATGCATAGTGTAATTTTTGAGAAGGGGGGGGGTATTGTGAACCGATACAATGCATTTCAGTCTATCCAAGTTCTTCATTGAGGTCATAATTGTAGAGAAAAAACTAAATTTGGCTACTGCAATTTACATAATCAGTGTGTTACGTAAATGATAATTCTCCAATAAAATGTTGTTTTGAAGTTTTCCTCATCTGTTACTTATGTTTGTGCACACATTAAATATGCTGTGAATTAAAACAATTAAGTTGTGCATGCACAGTATAATAGCTTTCTGTACAATTACAATTCGTCACATTCAGGGATTCCCTGTATTGTACATAATAATAGCGAAACACGAATAATATCGAGTAAATCATGGAGTGACGTTTTTAGCAATGCAGGTCATCAATATGGTTAAATTTGGGGGTAGTTATCTATTATCTATACATAAATCTTTCTGTTTATTATGAAGATGAAAACATTGAGAAATATCAATAAAACAAAACTAACTCTGACAAGTAAAATATAACAATCTAGTAGTCTAACGAAAAACTTTAGTTCTCAAGACAGTGATTGGGTGCTATTTTTATACATTGAACATCAGATGATGAGACGATAATGCACCATTCTTCTAAATTGCGCCCTCTAGTGACAACACGCTTATGTGACGTCAAAATGGCGTATATGTATGAAGGCAATGTTGTTCAAATCAACAACTGTGTGAAAATGTGTAAAATTAATTGTGGAGTGGATGTCATCTACAATATCTATGCTTTCAATGCTCTTTGGGTCATCCAGTTACATAATCGTAGCACTTGAATGCTAGGGGACGCTATTTATATGAAAGGCGAATTCAGGTCAATTTCTTTGTTTACAAAATATGAATAAATAAAAAATACTTTCTATCTCAATTGTTCTTGTTTGTGTATAGACTCAATTTCCAGTTCCTAGACCGTTACAACCACACATTTCATTGCATCCCATATTTGTTATGCTTTCCACATAAACCGCACACAAGTTGATTACATGGGATATGTGACATCCCTCATTGTAAGCGAGTCACTTATCCTTCAGCCCACAAATAAAACAAAAATAGACAAATCAATTGACAAACCCAGCCCACATCAATATTCTGGAATTATGAATTTCTGGATCCGCGAGAGCCAATAAGATAAGGGATGAGACTAGGCATCTGTAAAGCCAGTTGTGGTTTCACGAAGTGCAGAAGAAAATCACCCCTACCTAGAACTATTGTCTTTCTAAATCAAAGGTCAAATTTGATAACTCATCATCCTATATAATCATTGAAAAATATGTCCTTGAACTACATTAAGAATAAGAAGACATAATGACTATCTAAATTATTGGCAAGTTGAAAACAACAAACATTGTATCTCATATATGCTTCATTCATAAAACAAAGACATTTTGGGATAAAATACCATGCATTTAATTTTCATCTTCAAAATGTATAAAATAAAATAAAAGGTTCACCATTCGCAAATACACAAATGTACAAAAAATACTAACAACGAAACAATACAGTTCCGAATATACATGTACACATATGAATTGTGTTGCATATTAAAATTATGTATAATACACTGTGGCTTGATGCAGCAATTCATTTCAGACACAAAATAATACACTTGTATGTTTTCACAAACATAACTCAGAATACATGGATAACAGCAAACAATCAACCACAGATTGGAATTCACTGCTTTCAAGTACCAATCGGCTTTGGAAGCACAATTTTTTTCTATTTTTTAAATCCATGGTGTTTAGACAAGCCTTATATGGGTGGAGATAGAAAATGTGAGTAGACATTCTGAAATTAATGTACCAATCTAGAACATTTTGGATCTGAGAATAGGTTGATATAATGCAGATACATCTGTAAAATAGTGAATGCCATCCAGTGGATATTGCATAGTTGTAAACACCATCAAGTAATGATGTAAATACATTTCATTCTATCTTATGTATATTAAGCTGGTTTCACCACAACACCAGTTATCATTTTGACATACCATAGTACAACATGGATTAGTTAGCTCTTATAGACTTACTAAAATGTGATATTGAAAATAAAAATGTCATCAATTAAAAGTATATACAATATTTTACAAGTATGATACTTTGGAATGTTCATAAGACAGATTACGATAATACTGTACACACTAGATAAAAATTACTGTATATGTAGACTGTACATGAATTAATTGTGGATAAAAAAAAAATTGGATTTAAAATACATTACAATCAAAATTTAAAAGCAGCAGTTTGGAAGAGAAGTATCTGAATACTGGAATGTCTGAGATTTATCACGAATTGTTCACTGGCAAAATTATTATTAAAATATGGAATGATTCTTAGCACACTCAATTCTTGAGTTATTTCATTTTCATTACTGTCACCATCCAACCATGACACTAGTCTAGTGTGGCAGTCAGTACACATGCAGGACTAACAAATACTGTAGACAGGGGAATGATTCCAGTCAGGTAAGGTGGGGGTGTTAAAGCTAGTGTAACTTTTACACTATAATAACTTCACTTGATAAAGTGCTACAGTCGTCGTAACGTTTTTTAGGTATCGGTTCTATGTAGGCACGTGTAAAATACATTTTTTTTATTTTTACACACTCTTAATTTGAGCATGCACTAACCTACAGTAGAGCTTTAATTGACAGAGTTTAGGATATAATAACAACATATGTGATATCACAGCATATACACAAAGTCAAATAATTGTTCTGATAGTTATTACAGAAACAAAAACAATGTTGGATAATTTTTTACAACGAACAGTTAATACTAGACACTGTGCTGAGTGGTCAGCTATCAACAGGTGATAGAATAATGGGTACTTCAGTATACTGTATCAGATATATACAAGATAATGCAGCTCATTCATACTCCCTAGCTCCTGTAATGAAGCTCATTCATAGTCCCCCCCCCCCCCCGATAGCCATAGTTCCAGTACTCATTCAAAACCTCTAGTTTTGATACCAGTACACACTAGTATCTCTTTGGGTGGTGCCTTAGCAATGGTGGTCGGTTGTTTTTTCGTGCACTTGCAAATCTATCATAGTTGCTGTAAACTTTGTCACCTAAACTCAAAGAAATTGTCGCTGCAAAGAAAGAAAGAACAATTTAAGTAAATATCGTAAGTAAAATTGTGTGTTCAGTCTGCTCACTATGAGAGAATTTTTTAATAAAAAAAATTGATCACAGTATATCATTCAAAAATTGTCAATATTTAATGTTTTTTACCTAGAAAGAAAGATATATTTTCATAAGAATATATGTAAAGACAATATTCCATGAATAAATTATATATTCAAAATTCTCCAATTTTTCGGGACTACACATCATTTCTTTTAGCATAGGCCATTGAACAAAATTTTGAGATATAATGTTATGCTTCTGCCGAAGAAACCAATTGTAAACCATTCAAAACACACATTTCTGATCAATTTTTGAGGTCGTTTTGTGGAAAAATTTGGTGACCATATATTTTTATTTCAGAATTTTTAAACAATACAATAACCCAAGCCCTCTTGGTGGATTTCAAGGATTTCTTAGTATGTTTCTTTAATTGTAGTAAACTGGCTTAAAGAGTGGGGCATCCTGTGATGCATTGTGCATGATATGGGTTCCATGCCACCTATACAACATGTGTAAAAAAACATCTGTGAATGCAGGCTACAAAAGGACCACTCTTTAGACAGAGTTAAAACAATTATTAACAACTTAATAACCAGTGGTAGTACAATTAAACTACCATATACTTACATTCATTTGATTTCATTGCTGCAGTAATATAAAACCAGTATAACAAATGCATTATTATTATTTTTGACATAATATATTGTACAGATGCACTATTATTACTACAAGAATTATCAATCCATGTTATTTGTATACTCACATGCTTCTGTAACCATTGGTGTTTTTATATGCCTGTAATGTGAATGACTTGCAACTGACCGGGGCTGAAATGAAACACACAGATAATTAGAGACTAAAAACAGCAAGAAAGTGTACATTGTAGCAGATGATATACAACATATCTGGAGAAAATTAGCATATTTGGGGAAAGATAATGGTTAAGCATATGCATCATAAGAACTACACCACAAAACACTGTTTATATCAAGTAGGTATGCATAAATTTCCAATTCTCTCAACATCTTATAGTATTATAGTAAGGGATGACAAAGAGTCATAGGTTTTTCAAAATAATTAGTTTTCACTATATTACATTATATAATGATTTCCACATGGTTTTGGGTTTTTTATATGTTTATATAGGCATTCTGATACATTTTCAGGAGTCAGAATTCACATGCAGCGTAGCGCTCACATTCCAGGGCCAAAACACGCACCCCACATGCTCCATAGAACTAATACGAAGAGGGGTAGGCATATGAAAGAATGAACAATCAATTCAAGATATTTTCACATGTGGTATGTAAAATAATTATAAACAAATATAATATAAACAATATATATAAATATAATGTATTTAGTTTTGATTCTTGGCATTTGTGCTTATTTACTAAACAGATGACATGTTCAAATTGTAAGCTATGCAGCATAGAACGCACATGTTATATTAACATTTTTGGCAGTAGTAATAATACATATTATTACTCGTATCAGTTGACCACACAATCACAATCACTATGAACAGAGCTCACAGTTGTGTGATCTTGATTTAATTATATATTTCAGCCAGTTTACTCAATTTTGATACAGATGCAATTTTTCTAGTGCCAGATATAAGACCTTGCACCAGCCTATTAGAAGGCTAGATTTAGACTAACCATGTTATTATCTCAGTTGCACATAACCTGCCACACAATGAATATCCCATAATATTAACAATGTATACCAGTATGTGTTCTTGTAGGCAAAGGATTACCAAAAGATTATACAGCTAAATAAGCCATTGAGAATGTCAAGTCAGAGGACACTGTTTCAGGTCAAATCCTGAAGAAAAACATCATAGCAGATGCTTTGCATCACGAGTTTGTGTATGATAGAACAGCTTCAACAACAAAGATAATGATGAAGATTCTGAATTGACTGTTTTTCCACAAACCATAATAATTTCACACCATGGTATGATAATAATATTGTAATAAACAATGCATATTTTTTGTGAACATTTTTGTTTTATAATAAAAGTGTGAAAATCAATGATGATGCATCCCAATTTTATTTTCCCCCAAAGTGACATAATATTTCTTTTAATCTTGCACACGGCGAACGAAAAGTGACACTTGGATAATTTTTCAAGAGGGGTGACATGGTTATAATGTTAAACCAACAAATTCTTCATCTTTCCTGAGATGATCGCCCATTCGTTACTGTCCCCAATTTTACATGTTGGGGCCCCTGAGCTTATCACCAGGGAAGTACGGTAGTACAGATAAAAAAAAAAAGTTCTTTTCATTTGAGTTGTGATTAAACTAAGATCTTACTTCATGAGTCATCATATCTTCATACTGTTCATCAATTGTATCATAACGTTCAGGTGACGTGGAATCTAGGTATTTCAGACCACCAGTACTATTAGATCGTCTTGCCGCTAACTGTGCCAAAGTCTCAGCTTTCTCAGCTCGTCTGAAATGATGTGAACTGCCCATACTTCTCTCTGGATATGACTCTGTGCTAGTGTTGTGATAGGGTATGATTCGACTGCTGCTTTCAGAACTAATGATTTTTGTGATATTGAAATCTTTGCCTCTATTAAAACTAGGTGTGTAACTATGGTGCGTGTCTACTGATCTAGTTACTAATATATTACTTCTTTTTACTTTGTCAGGTTCCTGCAAATAAAACATATTGGGTACTTTCAGCTTGTACATGTACAGATCAAATCTTGAAAACAGAGTAATAGAACAATATATAATCGGGTAGTGAGGTGTCAAAGTAATGATTCAAAAAACACTGTGTACCAATTTCGAAAAATGTTTTCTACCATAACCCTCAATGTAATGCAGAGACGGTATTCAAATGTATAGTAATAATATAAACACACTGGAGATATAAACATGATTTGATAAACACATTGGAGACATTTGGTACATGTGCATAACAAGTGTTCGCACAATAACTGATCACGTAGAACTCTTTGTATGCTTATATGAAATCATCAATTCTTACAATCAGTATGTAAATGAATCTATCATGCTAATCTATTATCTGTTGTTAATGTTCAACACAGTAGTGCTAGAAAATATTGAAAAGTTACTTACCATCTTTTCATGTGTTTGATGGAGCTGGTCCTTGGAAGAAGTTCTGTTCGTTCTACCATCTGTACAGTACTTTCTATGGTGTGTAAACGAAGAGATAATTCACCAACTATTGATGTCTAATTAATCACCTCTCTTGTTATATTGTCAATTATGTGTGTTTTGTTTGTTTATTCAAACAGCTAAGAAATGCATACTGGTAAAAAATTGATGTTTTTTTCATAAAAAAGACATTATTGTGAGTCAGTGGCCAATTAGAAAAAAAAAAATATTATTAATCCTGAATAATGTCAAGTACTACTGGTAAGCTGAGCTGAGCTTCAGAATGTAACAAGTTAATCCCTCAGGTCAATACCATTATAATCCAAATATTAATAATAGAACTGTGTGAATGAACATGAACTATGTTTGTGCATACATGTACAAACAGTTCAGAATCAAATAAATCTTGTATATATGTCACATTCACAACTTGAAATAGTCTTACACTTTTACAATTGTCAGTTGAAATAGTTATTGTCAATCTGAAAAACTCAGACACTGGTTCTTTTTTACAGCACACTA